TATATATATATATGGTTATTGCTAATCCTAGTGATAAACTATTAAAATCTTAGTACAATATTGTATTGTTGTTGTTTTAGCGAAATGGTGGGCAGTTAATAATCTTAACAGTAATAAAGCACAATTAATTAGATGTCCCATAAAAGAAAAGCATTATTCAAAATTAAGTATTAAAATAAATAATTATTATTATCTAAATTTCAATCAAGGTGTCAAAAAACGACTTTATTTAAAAATGGGCAAATGCTCGGATTAAATATAGTTGAATCATAGAAGAACTACGATGCTCAAATAATTGAGATTAATCTTACAGGGAAGTCGATCGAATTTTACAATTTTACTTTCTTATGTGACTGCCGATTATTATACAAATGCAATAACTTGTCAAAGTGAAGATTTATATATTTATTATTTAAAGTGTTTGAAATGTACTTGAAACTAAACGAACTATTTCAATGAATCAAATATGCATGATTATACAGGGTGTCCCGGTACTTGATACAAAAAGTCGAATACAAGTAGATGAGGTCAAAATAAAAATATCAGTTCTTCATATACATTTTTTTCATACGGGCCTTCGTTAACAAGTTACGGGCTCGCAAAGGTGAAAATTAAAAGGTTCAGCATGATGCAAATTTGGTCATCAATAACACATACGTACAGCTTGTTTTTGATGTTCATTCATTATGCCCAGAACGCCGGGGACGGATTATGCCCAATGGTTAACCACCCAGAATTTTTTCATAGATGTTGACCGCAATATGTCTATTAAATATCAGTTCCGTGAAGAATTTGTCAACGATAATACCCTCTTGGTTCAACTCGGAAAAATTAATAGTATAGGAAATATTTGTGATTTTATGTCACAGTGCACATTGAGCGGCGCCTCCACCATTTTTTGTTTTTAATTTTTAATTAGATATAATTACTTTGTTAGAACTGTACATATTTTTAAAATAAGAGCCTGAAAAATTTTACTGTCTGATAATGTAATTTAATTTTCACTAACAAAATTTGACAAATACACTTTACACATAACACAAATCAAAAAAACTAAACAAGAATAAGTTAAGAAAATAATTTAAAAGACAGAAAGCTATCAAAATGGGCACTTTCCACGTAGCTGCAAATTTTTTTGCAAAAGCTTCAAATATCGATGTCCATTCAGACGTTCCAAAAAAAAAAGTATGGACCTATTTAATTATTACCCCAGAAATGCTATTTCGTGTACTTAGGAAGTTTGTGGAGGTGAAAGGTGCCCATATTGAAAATGTATTTTGACAGTTTTCTTTCTTTTAAATTATTTTTTTAACTCACTTTAACTTATTCTTGTTTTGTTTTTCTATTTTGTATTATGTGTAAAGTGTATTCGTCGAGTTTTGTTAATGAAAATTACATTAGCAAACAGTAATATTTTCTCGGCTCTTATTTTAAAAATATGTGTGCTTCCAACATAGTAATTAAGTGCAAATAAAAATTAAAAACAAAAAATGGTGGAGGCGCCGCTTGATGTGCACTGTAACATAAATTCACAAATATTTCCTAAACTGTTAATTTTACCGAGTTGAACCAAGAGGTTATTATCGTTGGCAAATTCTTCAGGGAACTTATTTTTGATACAGGCAAATTGCGATCGTCATCTATGCAAAAATTATGGGTGGTTAACCATGGGGCATAGTCCGTCCCTGGTGTTCTGGGCATAATGAAGTTTCATTTACAACATCAATAACAAGCTGTACGCATGTGTTATTGATCACCAAGTTTGCATCATGCTGAAGTTAATGGTTTAGAGACTATAAATAAAAATAACTTTTTAACTTTCACCTTTCAGGGCCCGTAACTTGTTAACGAAGGTCCGTATGAAAAAAAATTATATGACGAACTGATTTTATTTTGACCTCATCTATCCGTACTCGTACTTTGTATTAAGTACCGGGACACCCTGTATATATAATTAGAAAAATGCAATTTTATGATTTACACATACTTTCATAATCCATAAATTCAACAAAATTAATCCTGGAGGAAGGGATGTAGCAAAAAAGACTTCCTTTATAAAGACTGGTAAAAGAATTACCGAATCTGTCAACCCCAGGTCTAACGACGCCTAAGAAAAAGAAGCTTGATGCTAAAATAATTAATCAAAACGTCAAATTTTGCAGTCGACTCGAAAAATAAAGAAAATACTTCCTTTAGTAAAAGACAAGAAGACGGAGATTATTAGAGACGATGGAGCGTATGCAATCCTCTCTCTTGGTACGAACTTGATAGAAATTTGATACCAATGGTGCCATCTGATGCGTTGGAAGTCAATCGTTGACCATTCGTGATATTTATTTGTAGTAAACTCTACTGAGTAAAATACTGTTGAAAATCAATAATAAATTCTTACAAAGCACTATATTTCAATTAAAAAATACAATCCATATGCAATGTTACATTACATACATACAATACATTATATTGCCAAAAAATTTTAAGAAGTTAATTAAATATTGTTATAAATTCAAAAAATTTCTCTATAAACATTAACATAAATGTCCATTCAATGTTTTTTTTTTGTAATTTAGTTGCCGTACATTAGTATTTACGCAGCACATAATAAATAAAGATTGTTAAAATTAGTGTACTAAACAGATTTCAACTTATAAAAGTCTTGTATTTGAGTATGGCTTGATATAACAAATATTTATTTTGACTACATTTGAAAGAGATAAAGAATAAGAGATTTCAGCTTTTTAGAATCCTTAACAAACCATATTTAGGCAGGTTTCGTATGAAAGAATTAAATATTTAGCCGATAATTGATAATAAATAAATTTATTTAGTACCACATCAAACACTAAAAATCAAAATAACTCGGAACTCAGGAATTTCGAAACAGAAGGGACATTATTTTTGTTAAACTGTATGTACATAATGGAAATAATACTTTTTTTTTTAAATAGTCATTGGCGTAGAAGTTCTGTTTAAGAAAGGGGTTGAGCACCCCCTCCACTCCGCCACTGTGCAAGTTTTTGAACATTCTTATCGCTTGTTTTATGCCCCTTAATTAATAGGCATTATCCCCCAAACATGAAAAAAATCTAAGTATTCGTTTATAAGTTATAATAAAAATTCGAGAAAAAAAATATATTCAACACTGTATCTCGAAAACGAAGGCTTCTACGACATATGTTTACAGGAATTTTTCTTTTTAAAAACATGTGTTCTATATCCTGTTAAAGTTTGTCTGCAAAAACTGACTCACCCTGTATATCAAATAAACCAAAAAATAAAGAGCTTTTCATTTTTGATCTAGAGACCATAAACCAGCTAATAAAGTATTGATGATTGAATTTAATAACATTCAGCTTCTAATAAAATTAATACTTATGTGTGACCTTAACACTCATCTTTTTAATGCTATTTGCTTGACCAAACCGATAAGAGTAACATGTGGTACCACTTCAACTAATATTGTAGTTGCGTTGCCTACAACGTCAAAAGTTATAAGTATTAGAGAAAAATGCATTTATGTTTCTTTGCTCTGGTTTCTTTCTTTACCTTCACGTTCGGGCTTCCTAATGGGATTGAAGTTAAAGTACCTCCACCTAAATCGGAATATTCAGGTGATTTTTAATATTTTTTTCAGGAAATTGTTATATGTATATATATTTTCAGATTGGTACGATATATTTTATAAACAATCTTCAATTATTCCATTGTTTAGGTCAAAAGAAAAGGTGTACTTCATTGGAAAACATTTTAGAGTAAGTCAAATATTGATATATTCTAACCACGAAATATTTAAGCATTAGTATGCATTAATTATAATTTTTTTATGGTACCTACACAGGGGTAGTATTTTATTTTAATTTATATAATTATTTCACTAAACTATTCATGCTATCAATACTCAAAAACTGTACCTTGAAAATTTTACATGTTTTTTCTAAAAATGATTAAAAAATACTACCTACATACATATTCCAATAAACTTGTCAATTAATGAAAAATTACGAAAATATAATAACAAGAACTTCTTACTTTTTAGGTAAATTTCTTACAAGCTCATCTTTTCTGTAAAATTATGCATATGAATCTTATGACTATACAATCAAAAGAAGAAACCGACGAAATAAAAACAATTCTTCAGAAAAATGGTAAGTTCGAGGATATGCTAAATGATAAAGATAAAGAAGTATATTTTTATGTTTATTAAAATACATTTACATCATACACGTTCACGTACGTATTTTCGAAGGAATGGGTCAAATTATATTTTTTTTTTCATTACATTACATTAAGTTCTCAACGAGATCAAATGTCATTTATAGCTTAATTCAATACTTTAATAAGTAGAATTTTTAAAATGCAATATTTGGAAGACCCTAAATAAAATCATAATTCATATGATAATTTAACAATTTAACAATTTAACTCGCAAATAAGTTAATTTGAAAAACATCGAATACTTGAGCTCCTCGTATCTCGCCCCTAAAATCTGTAGTGTTTATAGCGGTGGTCATGGTTACCGTCGTGCAGCAATGGACGACGGAGTGGAAGTAGCGCATATTTACTATGCAGTTTGAACCAATTAATAGTTATTCGTTTCTTTTGTTTTTATTAAATGTAATTTGTTTACGTGTGGTGTAAAATTGTATTACTTACGTATTGTTTCTTGTGCTTTTTAAAAATTGTAAACATATAAATTAGATTGTAAAGACAGACTAATAGTCCGGGCGATTTATGTTTTTTTTTTCAAAAATCGGGCCTTCCTCAAATTTGTATGTGCTTAAAATTAAGTGAAAAATATACAGAATAATAGCCTAAATCTGTGTATTTGTAAAGGTCGAGCGTCATATTGTTTTGTAACAAAAGAAAAAAATAATTGCTCTTTTTCAGTTTTTCACTTATATCTCCGAAAATAAGCCTCTAATCGACATAAGGCATACTTGTCGATTTTGTTCCTGAGGAAATTTTCTATAAAGATAGGTATTTGCGAAAGCTCGCAAAATATTTTTTTTACATTGCAAAATTAGCGGTGAAAATATGTGCAGCCAGATACCGAAAAATACATTTTTATTGAGTTTTCACGTTTTCTTTGTAATTTCATTGTGCTTTCGATATTTTAAAAAGTAAGGAGGTCTTTTTACGTATTTAAAAACAAAAGTCAATTATTTCTTTAAAAAAAAAAGAACGCATTCGGTTAGAAGAAATCGCCTGTACGCAAACTTATTTATGTCGATATCTACTAAAGTACCTAACTTAATTTAAATTAATATGTATGCAACATTATTGCGTTTCATTTAAATAGTTAGTCATAACTAACATTTCCCGGTATATTCTTTTAAAAATAGTTGGAGCTCTTCCAATCTTGTCTCTAGTATAATACTAGCTACATTCAACCGACAGAATCGATGAGGTGGACCGTGTTCCTTTATTTATCATTTTGATGTGACAGATTATGTAGAGCCAATCAGAAATTCGGATTATTTAATCAAGCCAATAGTATTACATGGATAAAACACATCGCATCGCGCCATTATTCCATGGCTAGAAATTGGCCTCAATGATTTGGGATCGAGGGGGATTATCCCTCTTTATCCTGCCTCATCTCGTGTAGGCCTGGACAGCCTTCGTAGGTGGGCCCCATCCGTCGTCTACCCCGACCGCAAATGCGGCCGGTGTAGGCGCTTTGTGGGACCTCCTTTTGTCCTGGCTGGGCCCCGCCGGCTAGGGCCCTTTCTTCTGGCGCTCTTCTTGCTTCGCCGGCTCGTCTGTGTAAACCCCGGGGGTAGTGTCATGTTTATGTGTGGTATGGTTGGGTAGGGTAGTGCGGCTATGCAGCCTGGGATGCGCTTTGCTAAGG